CTGTTGGTTTATTTTTTAGGTTACCTTTGTTACAGCGTAGCAGACGTGGGCAGTAAGTAGCTCCATCTACTCGGTTACACGTATTCCAGTTAAACATTAATGGATTCGTACTTACTGTCCACTTTATTAGGTCCACCTACCTTGTACCTGTACCATTCTACCAAATTAGTACATACTGCAGTCCCACAGCGAAAAAGAGACAAATAAATAAAAATAAAAAGATGTTTGTGAGTTCAGACCATGCCTTCAACATGTAGTGGTAGTACAAGGGAAGACTGATTGAGGGAGGGGGGAGAACTCTGAGAACTTGGGCTGGAGTTCTAGGCAGCTTCTGCCTGTAGCTAAAAGGCCAGATCCCCCCTCCTAGCTGTAGTAGGACTGATGCAGGACTGAGGAACGGGGAGGAGATGGGGTGGCGGTGTGAACGGAAGGTTCCCGTGGATTTATAGGGCGTTGGATTGAAAGAAGGAGGAGTTTCAGCCATGCCTCCCCCCCAAACTTCAGTTATAACATAACTACATAAAAACCAGTGAAGTATTCGGACCTTACATATTTACAAGGATTATGTTATGATCTATTTAAACCCGAGGCATTATTTGAGATAGTTATACACCAAATATATCCAAAAGCTACATCTGTCTATTGAGAGGTGTTTGTCCCAAACCCTAAAAATGATACTTACGTTTTTTTTTTTTTACTTTTTTTAAAGATGTAAATCTTTAGATTTATCACAAGTTGAATTTTTAAATACAAAAAAAAACTTTATTTAAATAATCCTGTCCCATGTTTTCGTGTCAGTACCGAAACACAAAGAGTTTTAGTCTGTAGGCAGAGACTTATTTTAGCCACGCCCCTGCATTTTGGAGCAGGAAGTGAGGTTGCATCCCTGTTAGATCCCATTGTTTTGAAGTAAATGTGTCCCAAAGTCTGAAAATCAGTGTGGAACATTAAGAACTGTCACTACCGACACACAGATTTTCTGTAACAAAATAATTCTTTTTGTATTTTAATGAAAAACATTTCGATTTTATGTGTGAACAGCTGTTTTCTGCCATGTTTCCTGGTCATGTACTGGCTGTGTTTTTGAGTTCTGCTCAAAATGAGCTAAAATTGTCACCACCGACACAGTCACTACTGAAACATTTGAGTGTATCTTTAGTGAATCTAACAGAAGGGTGGATATTTGTGAAGCACAAACAGCTCAATGTAGCACAGAAAACCTCATCACCCAAACACAGTATAAAGTTTCACTGCCTCTGGGAAACGATGTTCTGTTGCTTTTCTAAGTAAAAATACACAGAACACTAAACAAACTTAAACATCAGTGCATATTTGAATTTTTAGTGCACAGTTTCTATTTATTCGCTGAATTTATCATATTGGAAAAAAATAAAACAAAATATAAGATGTTTCATAACTTTTTATGTTTTAATTTTTTCCTCAATGTGTTAAATTCAGTAAATAAACAGTAATTGTGTATTAAAATGTGCAGAAGTGTGTCTCTGTAGAGGATGTGTGACTTATTTACACTCAGAAAATCAACAACACGTCACTTTATCATATTACAGCATGCTGTCACATTAAAAGTTTGGGGACGGCTTCCCTTCTTTTGAGCCATGCTTGATTTTCACTGTTGCTTTTAATGTAAAAAAAACAAAAACTCCAAAGGCTTAGTTAGAATGCAAAAACCATGTGCTAATCCTTTAGGTGTGTAATAATATAAAAACAACCTGGTTGAATGTATAAAATGATTCTAAATATCAGGTTACAATAAAATAAACAGTCAGAATTCATCATACTTTGAAAGAGGAGATCAAATTTCAATTCTGTGAAATGTAGTAGACTTTGTACCTGTAAAATGTGCCAGTTGTCCAGGCAAAAATTATTGTAATGCTTCCTAAAAAGTAGATTGCCACAGGTGCGTAAAGCAAAAATATTGAATTATATAGAGTAGAAAGAGTTTTGCCCACACGCTGTTTAAAAGTCAGACAAGTCTAGCAAAAATGATATATATTATATATAAAAATATATATATTTTTATGCCATTAAATTGAGTACAAATAAGAAAAAAACAGGCACAAGTTGAGCAAATGTTTCAGCTTCTTGCTGTCATCAGTGCTCATGGAGCAAATCTGTCAACCTGCTTCCTTTTGAAGACTCAAACTGTCCTCACCAGTTTTCCAAGTAAGTATGTTTTACTCTGCTGCTGCGAAACACGAGTGTTTGAACGTGAGTGCGTTGCCAAGGACGCGTTATGGCGTAGCTTTTCCGCTAACTAGGCTAACTACTCTGATGTTAGCTTTGGCCCAGGAACAGAGTAAATCTCATCAGCACCCAGCGCCGCACTGGATAGCGCAGGCAGGTCAAACTGGGGACCTTCTGGGCCAAACTACTGCGGATATTAGCGTTTACCCTCAGCTAACACTTGAATTCAGCTCATGAAGGCCTTACTAATTAGCTGATGAGCTACATGTGGGACAGTGTGAGCTCATTAGCTCTTCAGAAGTGGCAGCTTCTGTTACTCATCCAACATGGAAACCTACCGATTTCTCATAGTTATTATTGGATAATAAAATGTTTTCAAATTACTCCTCCAGTGCCATCTCCTGAAAAGTTACACTAATTTTGGACAAAGTCTCTCTTTTTTTTTTTTTGTTGATGCTTTTTCCTTCCCTGCAGTTAACCGGATATCCATTCATTAACTCTTAAGGACACTTATATAATATATAATATCAGAATTAGTCCTAGTGCTGATGGGTGCTGACATCACAAGAAGAGGGTAAAGTGCATGGGTGTTATTATTGTTATCATATTTTCACTGTCTGAACAAACTTTACATCTCCATTTTTGTTGTTTTTTTTATTTTTCTACAGAATCTGAAAAAGCCAGATGTCCTTTAGAATGTTTTGGTATCGCTCGGAAAAAATCTTCCATTTAGTTCCATTCAAAGTTGAGAGGTTTTTTCTTTCTCTTGTAAAGTTACCATTTTGGAGATAAGCGATTTTGACATATCGCTGAAGACAATCTCATATCTCCATTTTTCAGTTTTTGAGATAATCTGAAAAATGCGTGTTGCCCTTTATATTGTGGGCAAATTTCATGAAGAATGGACCAAAAGAAACGACCCAAAATTACTTGGAAAAAATCTGGTTCCACTGACTCACATTAAAAGTAAAGTAGGTTTTTTTTCCTTCTCCTGTAAAGTTACCATTTTGGAGATACGAGGTTTTCTTACAACAACAGTGATATGTTTCTTTACTTTCGCAGTTTTTGTAAATATAAGAAACAAATTTCTATTCAGTATTGTAAATTACTGCAAACAGTCAAAGTACAAATGTAGATTTGTACTAAAATATACAAAAAAAAAGAGAAACGTTTCAAACATTTCAATGTTTACGGTAATGCAGAAATGAAGAAGCACAGCACGGTGGCGCAGTGGATAATGCTGACCCCTCACAGCACACCCAGCCAGGTGACCAGGGTCCCTTCTGTGTGGGGTTTGTATGTTCTCCCTGTGTCTGTGTGGGTTTCCTCCCACAGTCCAAAGACATGCAGTCAGGTCAACTGGAGATGCTGCATTGCCCCTCGGGGCGTGTGTGTGTGTGTGTGTGAGTGAGTGAGTGTGTAAGTGTGTGAATTTGTATGTCTGTGTGTCTGATGGACTGGCAGCCTGTCCAGGGTGTTTCCTGCCTTCCACTCAATGAGTGCTGGGATAGGCTCCAGCACCCCCCACAGCTTAGATGATGAGTGAGTGAGTGAGAGAAATGAAGAAACAGCAGCACTACAATCTGCCCAACTCAGAGAGCCTCTGGAGGCTCAAACACCCATGAGACAGAAAGGGACAGAGAGAGAGAGAGAGAGAGAGAGAGACACAGAGGTGGGAAAAACCCTCATTATCTCTCTCTCGACCAGCTGAGTCCAGCCTGTGTTTACTCCAATTCCGTCCGATTTACTTCACCTTCACCAAACACACAATCTGAGACTTCAGAACGACCTTAATGAAGGAGGCGAGGAGAGAGGCAAAGGCACAATCTGAGCTCTGATAGCTGCGCCTCACATCAGCCATGGGGGAGGGTGATATGGCAAATATATGACATCATGATATGCGTAGAAAACCATATCTTGGTTTTCTGATGGAAGGTTTGATCAGATGGAGCTAACAGTGCCACATGCCTAAAAAAGGCTATAAAAACTGAGTACAGTGATGTGGTGAGTACATGATAGTATCTTGTGAGCACATGGCAGTATATGATAAGCACATGATAGCATGTGGTGAGCACATGGTAGTATATGGTAAGCACATGATAGTATATGGTGAACACATGATAGCATGTGGTGAGCACATGGTAGCATATGGTGAACACATGGTAGCATATGGTGAGCACATGATTGTAACTTGTGAGCACATGGTAGTATATAGTCAGCACATGAGAGTATATGGTGAGCACATGAGGGTATGTGGTGAACACATGATAGCATGTGGTAAGCAAATGAGAGTATATTGTGAGGCAATGATATATTTTGTGAGCACATGATAGCGTGTTGTGAGCACATGATAGCGTGTTGTGAGCACATGATAGTATATTGTGAGCACATGATAGTATAGGGTGAGCACATGATAGCATGTTGTGAGCAAATGAGAGTACATGGTGAGCACATGAGAATATGTGGTGAGCACATGGTAGTATATGCTGTGCACATGATAGTATATGGTGAGAACATGATAGTAGAACATGATTGTAAAAAAAAAAGAAGTACCTCGTCCTTCCAGAGGTTCTGTACTGTCAGCTAAAAGGCCTTACATTGTTTTCAGTCAAAGTTTGTTTTTCTTTGTGTTTTTTTTTACCTTCCCTGCGATTAACTGGATATCTGTTCATGTCTTATGGATACTCGAATATCAAGCAGAATGCCCACCCCTAGTTGAAACCTATGCCATTTCTAAACAGGAGCGAAGACAGAAATGAAAAAGGCCTCCGTGTATTTTAGAGGAGCTGACTTACTTCAGGCCAGGAATATCCAAAATGTTAGTCAGGCCAGTCCAGCTGATGTCCACGAGCTGAAACAGAGAGACAATAACTTAGAGAAGTGTTTTAATCATTTAGAGAAGAGTTATAATCATTTAGAGAAGAGTTTTTATCATTTAGAGAAGGGTTTTAATCATTTAGAGAAGAGTTATAATCATTTAGAGAAGAGTTATAATCATTTAGAGAAGAGTTATAATCATTTAGAGAAGAGTTTTTATCATTTAGAGAAGAGTTATAATCATTTAGAGAAGAGTTATAATCATTTAGAGAAGGGTTTTTATCATTTAGAGAAGAGTTATAATCATTTAGAGAAGAGTTATAATCATTTAGAGAAGAGTTTTTATCATTTAGAGAAGAGTTATAATCATTTAGAGAAGAGTTTTAATCATTTAGAGAAGAGTTATAATCATTTAGAGAAGAGTTCTAATCATTTAGAGAAGAGTTTTTATCATTTAGAGAAGAGTTATAATCATTTAGAGAAGAGTTATAATCATTTAGAGAAGAGTTTTAATCATTTAGAGAAGAGTTATAATCATTTAGAGAAGAGTTATAATCATTTAGAGAAGAGTTTTAATCATTTAGAGAAGAGTTTTTATCATTTAGAGAAGAGTTAATCATTTAGAGAAGAGCTTAAAGAGCCCAAATCCTCCATTTCTCTTATGTCTTCATTGACCTGAGTGGCCTCTCAGTGGATCAATACCGTAACAGAACAGCAGCATGTGTTACTGCTTACACTGCAGAGCTGCTTCTCTACTGATCACACACACACACACACACACACACACACCACCTAAGCACTCTTCCTTTCTGTCTTCTTTCCTTTCATCTTATTTTATTTTCCTATTTACGATTTTCTTTCAAATTGAAATTTGTTGAAACTTGAATTTGTTATTTAATAATCAGTTTAATCTACCTGTGAAGCACTTTTACTCAGAGAGAGAGAGAGAGAGAGAGAGAGAGAGAGAGAGAGAGAGAGAACAGACAGAGAGAACAGAGAGAGAGATAGAGAGAAAGAGAGAGAGAGAGAGAGAGAGAGAGAACAGAGTGACAGATAGAGAGAGAAGAGAGAAGAGTATTTGTGATGATTTCTGATCTAAATTAAGATTCTGGGCTAAGAATAAAGTTGTCATGCAGGTTTTACCAAATAAGCACATCAAGAGAAATGATGGCAGTTCTGGAATGGAGTGTACACACACACACACACACACACACACACACACACACACACACACAGACACACACACTCACACATACACACACACACACACACACACACACTCACATACACAAACACACTCACATACACACACAACCTTGTTAGGAAATCTATGAAGCAGTAGAGGAGGTATAGTAGTGGCAGCATATCACAATCATTTCATACATTTATATGCAATATTTCTATACTTTATTGAAAGCTGAATCCAGACAATTTGAACTGTTAATCTACACTTTAAAATGTGATTCTTCACTTTTAAACTGAGATTCTACACTTTTGAACTGAATTTTACACTTCTGAACTGTGATTCCACACTTTTAAACTGATTACAAACTTCTGACCTTCTGTGATGTGGATCAGGAATAATGTGGAAGAGGAACAGCGTAGATAAGGAATAGTGTGAATGAAGAACAGTGTGGATAAGGAATAGCATTGATGAGGAATAGCGTGAATGAGAAATAGTTTAGATGAGGAATACCATGGATAAGGAATAGTGTGGAGGAGGAATAGTTTGGATGAGGAACAGTGTGGATAAGGAATAGCGTGTATGAGAAATAGTGTGGATGAGGAATAGTATGGATGAGAAACAGTGTGGATGAGGAACAGTGTGGATGAGAAAGAGTGTGGATAAAGAATAGTGAGGGTGAGGAATAGGGTGGATGAGGAATAGTGTGGATAACGAAAAGTGTGGATGAGGAATAATGTGGATGAGGAATAGTGTGGATGAGAAAAAGCCTGGATGAGGAATAGTGTGGATGAGGAATAGTATGGATAGGAAATAGTGTGGATGAGAAATAGTGTGGATGAGAAATAGTGTGGATGAGAAATAGTGTGGATGAGGAATAGTATGGATAGGAAATAGTGTGGAGGAGAAATAGTGTGGATGAGAAATAGTGTGGATGAGGAATAGTGTGGATGAGGAATAGTATGGATAGGAAATAGTGTGGATGAGAAATAGTGTGGATGAGAAATAGTGTGGATGAGGAATAGTATGGATAGGAAATAGTGTGGAGGAGAAATAGTTTAGATGAGGAATGGTGTGGATGAGGAATAGCGTGGATGAGAAATAGTGTGGATGAGGAATAGTGTGGAAGAGGAATAGCATGGATAAGGAATTGCGTGGATGAGGAATAGCGTGGATGAGAAGTATAGTGGATGAGAAATAGTTTAGATAAGGAATAGCATGGATATGGAATAGTGTGGATAACGAAAAGTGTGGATGAGGAATAATGTGGATGAGGAATAATGTGGATGAGGAATAGCGTGGATGAGGAACAGCATGGATGAGGAATAGTGTGGATAAGAAATAGCATGGATGAGAAATAGTGTGGATGAGCAACAGTGTGGATAAGGAACAGTATGGATGAGCAATAGTATGGATGAGGAATAGCATGGATGAGGAATACTATGGATGAGGAATAGTTTACATGAGAAATAGTGTGGATGAGGAATAGCATGGATAAGGAATGATGTGGATCAGGAATAGTGTGAACAAGGAATAGTGTGGATAAGGACCAGTGGGGATGAGAAATAGTGTGGATGAGCAACAGTGTGGATAAGGAACAGTATGGATGAGCAATAGTATGGATGAGGAATAGCATGGATGAGGAATACTATGGATGAGGAATAGTGTGGATAAGGAATAGTATTGATAAGGAATAGTGTGGATGAGGAATAGTGTGGATAAGGAACAATGTGGATAAGGAATAGCACGGATGAGGAATAGTGTGGATGAGGAATAGTGTGGATAAAGAACAGTGTGGATGAGGATTAGTGTGGATGAGGAATAGTGTGGATGAGGAACAGTGTGGATGAGGAACAGTGTGGATGAGGATTAGTGTGGATGAGGAATAGTGTGGATGAGGAACAGTGTGGATGAGGAATAGTGTGGATGAGGAATAGTGTGGATGAGGAACAGTGTGGATGAGGAATAGTGTGGATGAGGAATAGTGTGGATGAGGAATAGTGTGGATGAGGAATAGTATGGATGAGGAACAGTGTGGATAAGGAACAGTGTGGATAAGGAATAGTGTGGATGAGGAACAGTGTGGATAAGGAACAGTGTGGATGAGGAATAGCGTGGATGAGGAATAGTGTGGATGAGGAACAGTGTGGATAAGGAACAGTGTGGATGAGGAATAGTGTGGATGAGGAATAGTGTGGATGAGGAACAGTGTGGATGAGGAATAGTGTGGATGAGGAACAGCGTGGATAAGGAATAGTGTGGATAAGGAACAGTGTGGATAAGGAATAGTGTGGATAAGGAATAGTGTGGATAAGGAACAGTGTGGATAAGGAATAGTGTGGATAAGGAATAGTGTGGATAAGGAACAGTGTGGATAAGGAATAGTGTGGATAAGGAACAGTGTGGATAAGGAATAGTGTGGATAAGGAACAGTGTGGATAAGGAACAGTGTGGATAAGGAATAGTGTGGATAAGGAACAGTGTGGATAAGGAATAGTGTGGATAAGGAACAGTGTGGATAAGGAATAGTGTGGATAAGGAACAGTGTGGATAAGGAATAGTGTGGATAAGGAATAGTGTGGATAAGGAACAGTGTGGATAAGGAATAGTATGGATGAGGAACAGTGTGGATGAGAAATAGTGTGGATAGACAGCACTAAAAGGATGAGTGAAGGGTCAGAGGTCAAACACTCACCGGCTTCTTGAGGAAGAAGAGGGAGAAAGCACCAACCAGCGGCATCTCACCCAGCAGCGGCTCCAGGACCACCCGCAAGACCCCGTGGAGCTGAACCAACACAAAGGAACAACAATCACAAACAAAGACCATAAAGAGCTCCTCTAACTCTCTGAGTGAGAAACATGCAGGAGCAGAAAACAACATCTTTATCACTACTTATTTAATTTAATTTTTTATTTCAGAACACATGAAAATGTATATTACTAACTTATTTTTAATATAAACATGTCTATATTAATAATAATAATAAAAATAAACAATAATAATAATAATTATTGTTTCATTTAGGCCAGAGGAAAAAAAACTGTTTTTTTTTGTAATGGAGAAGAAAAAAAAACAACTTTAGAACAAAATTTTGTAGTTTTTTTTAGAGCAGGACTCCGGCTGGTTATTTTTCACACTGCTTTATTCCTCAGACTTCCTGCTCTGAGGAATTCCACAGCTGCTCTTCTCCAGTCTCACACTGTGATCTGCTCACGGAGGAGATCTTCCTCCTGAGGCTCAAACGCTGATTTACTCTGACAGCTGAACACGTCCTCACACTCTGACAAAGAACGTGTGATGTTTGCAGACAGAAAGCTGCGGCTGACCATCCTTCTGTCCACTTCTGTCCAGGCCGAATAAACGTCGACTCTACTGAGCTCCTTCTGTGTGTTACAGTCACACAGCCTGCGCACTCCGAATGACCTTTAACCCTTAATAACCCTTCAAGGCCAGCACACATCGGCGGCTATTTCTGCCCTTTACTCTGCTCCTCTCCTCTGTTAGTGTCTCAGTGTGACGTCACATTTGCTTTTATTTGTAAATAACAGGCTCTAATAAAGCCATCAAATAAAGACGAATCATTGGTTGTTTTACATGATGTTAAAATGTAAAAACGATAAAAACGGAGATACAATGTTTTTGCGCAGTAGCGACAATATGCTAATGATTCTTTGGCCTAGCATGAACTGTAAAGTCTATAAATTCTTCTAAAAAATCACTGACTCAACTTCTGTACCTATTCTGCTGCTTTCAGGTGCTCACGTTTTGACGTTCCCCCTCCTTCCTCTGTTTACCAAAAGAAAAAGGGTCCCACTTTATATTAAGTGTCTCTAATAACTATGTAGTTACATGTGAACAACATACGCAACAACAACGTAACTACTGATGATTTGGTCGATGTTACAGGTGTATTACAGAAGTACAGCCTATGTAATAACACGTGTATCAACTTCAGTTTTGCCTCATACAGTCATGTGCAAAAGTTTAGGCGCCCCCGGTGAAATGACGTGTTGTTGATTTTCTGAGTGTAAATAAGTGAACACACCCTCTACAGAGACACACTACTGCACATTTTAACACACACTTACTGTTTATTTAGTGAATTTAACATATTGGAAACAAATAAAGCATAAAATATGGCCTCTGCAAAAGTTATGGCACATTCTATAAATATATGTTTTTATATTTTATGTTTTATTTATTCCAATATGTGAAACTCAGCAAGTAAACAGATTTTGTGCTCTAAAATTATCAGAGAAAATGGCATGTTTGAGTGTGTTCTCTGTAGAGGATGTGTTCACTAAATTTTCATGTAGAAAATCAAAAAAACATGTCATTTGACTGGGGGGGGGTATGGGGGGTGTTCAAACCTCTGCATATGACTGTATGTTACACACTCTGATCAGTCAAACAGGGTCTTTATACACAGAGTCTGGAACTTCGACATTAAGTTAAATGGCTCATGGAACAAAATGAAAACATTTCAGTGCCATTTATTTGAGTTTCACTGGGACAGAATTATCACTGGATCAAAATAAACAGTTTTCATTAACTGAAATGCACTTTTCTTAACATTTATCCATTTTAAGTTAACCAGTAACTTTAAAGCAACACAGTTTATTTATTTATTGCTGACATATTTTTCAGTTTTTAACTGTGAAAACAGACACTTTGACTCTTTTATCATTATTATTATTATCATTATTATTATTATTATTATTATTATTATCATTATTATTAATTGTGCTCTTTACCATCATTTGCTCTTCACACATGTGGAAAGTCCCATAACTTTTTAAATAAATGTAATATTTAGATAAATTAAAAATCTTTTTAAAAGCTTCTGACTTTCTGACTTTTAGAAAACAAAACATCTGGATTGTTTCAGCCACTTTAAACCCAGCACACACTTAGAAATGATGGTTCTTCACGGGTTCTTTAGTAAAAAAAAAAGCTTCTATATAGCACCATGAACACTTAAAGAACCCTTTGCATGATTAAAAGGTTTTCTTTGCATCGTTAAAGGGTTCTTCAGATTGATGGAGAATGTGCTGTAGGGTTCTATATAGAACCTTATCAGAAAAGGGTTCTACATAGTACCAAAAAGGGTTCCTCTATTACTATAATGTCAAGCCTATAACAACAGAAGAACCCTTTGTTGTGCTATACAGAACCGTTTTCAAAAAAGGCTCTATATAGAACCATCTACAGCACATTCTCCATCAATCTGAAGAACCATTTATTCACGCAAAGGGTTCTTTGAGTGTTCATGGTTCTATATAAAACCATTTTCATTCACTATCTAATTCAGCACACACTTAGAAATGATGGTTCTTCAAGGGTTCTTTAGTAAAGAAAATGCTTCTATATAGCACCATGAACACTTAAGGAACCCTTTGCATGATGCTTTGCAGGGTTCTTCAGATTGATGGAGAATGTGTTGTAGATGGCTCTATATAGAACCTTATCAGAAAAGGGTTCTACATAGCACCAAAAAGGGTTCTTCTATTACTACAATGTCAAGCCTGTAACAACAGAAGAACTCTTTTCATGCTATATAGAACCCTTTTCATCTACAGCACATTCTCCATCAATCTGAAGAACCATTTATTCACGCAAAGGGTTCTTTGAGTGTTCATGGTTCTATATAGAACCATTTTCTTTACTAAAGATCCCTTAAAGAACCATCATTTTTAAGTGAGTAGAACTGACTGACCACTGCTGGACTTCTCTAATGAGTGTTAATGTACTCTATTACATCATTTAGAAGGGGAGCAGTCATCAAAACTACTAAGGGTCATTAAAGCTGAGGAGTTTCCTGTTCAGCCCACAGTTACACCTTCGCCTCAAACGCAGAATGACCTGTGTGGACACAGGCGTGTGTTATGTGTGCTGCATGCCCACGTGTGTCGTCCAGTTCCTCCTACAGCAGAAGGACGTTTCAGTGTTTGGTTACGTGCCCCACTATAAATACACACACACCCATTCTTTATAAATAGGCCGCATTCAGGCCGGGATCATTCCTTCCAGGAAGCACTAAACAAGCAGCAGAACAGAGTTAAAGTCCTTTTTCCTCAACATGAAAACTCACACAACATCCCTCGGTTACACAAGCTCTACAGGATTATGGGGGAAATGTTAACTAGAGCAGGGGTTCTCAGTCTTTCCCACCCTAACGCCCACCTGTCCATAACTATAAAGCACAGCAGCACCACAGAAAAATAAAATAAACTTTTAAAAATAGTTTTCTTTTTGTTTTTAATTCCTCACGCTGAAAACCCGTGAATTCAGGCCTGAAGAAGATCAGATTGTCCATTTCAGTTTAATTCACAGAAACCAAACTTTGCAGTTAGACTAAAAAAACATATGTTTGCAGTTATGTTAAAAAAGGGGGGGGTAGATGTGGATGCAGACTGTGATCTGCAGTTCACTGCATTTTCACTGAACAGTGAGTGTGTTTACATACACTCAATAATCTGATCCTTATTGGATTTCTGCAGTTATCTGATTATTCAAATGGTCATGTAAACAGCACACTCTTTCTGCGATTGGAGTAAGATCTAGAAATCCAATTAAGAAACGTGATAATCAGATTTCTCAGTGTATGTATCTTTTACTCTGATTTCTTTCGGATTTCTCGGTCTGTGCATGCGCGAGATCAGACTGCGGTACCGGAAATAAGCGAGCAGCGTCACCGCGAGACGCAGCAAAACACTTTTGGAGCGACGCTGAAACCGAAAACATGCTTGATGAAATGAAGGATTTCAATATTCTTCATCTTACAGATGACGAATGTTCATAGTGGCACAATGTTTTTAAAAAATGCCGCAGCACGAAGTTTACGCTTACGTCACGTCTTCTTCTGTGAGTTTATTGGCTCTTTGCAAAGCAGAAATCTGATTACTGTCTGACTCATGTAGACCTGGAGTTTCCCATTATCTGATTACTCAAGCGCATGTAAACACCTTGATCAAAAATCTGATTTTCTGCAGTTATCGGATTATTAGGTGTATGTAAACGCACTCAATGAGTCTGTGCAGAGTCCGACATTAAAACTGGCAGATTACGCTGACTACAGCCCTGACGTGTTGCTAGAAGAGGAGGAGAGTCGGCTCTACTGATGATTCCCTCATTTGATCATAAAATGCGTCCCACCAGCAGTGAGCTGAACAGGGTTCGGTTGGAAGGGGGCCTTAGTAAAGGTTTTGCCGGACCGGTGGATGGGTAGAGTGTTCACACATGTCAAAAAAGACAGAACTACAGTGGATTTGATGGGTCGGCAGTGAAAAAGGCAGGAGAAAGCGCCCTGAGGAACCTCTCCATCTCCGGGGAACTGTCTGCACTGCGCGCCGCGGCTGTGTTGTCCCAAAACTGATGACGTTTAATTAGCCTGCAACTGCTGTGTGTTTATTTATACATCTCTGATAATGTTTATTACTGAGTACCTGAGTACAGGCCTGCAGACCACTAGAGGGAGCTTCATGGCCCACAGGGGGTCTGCAGCCCACGGGCTGAGAAACTCTGAACTAGACCACACACAATGTTGTACCCTGTTAGTGACTGTCCACTTGGGGCGAGTACGTTTTATGTACTAAAACCGTCATAATTCATTTTGTCCATTTTCCATTTTTCAGCCTCTCCTTCTTTCTTAGAACTGAACAGGCTGCTTCTGTTACTGTACCTTTAAGACTAACATATGTAAATGAGGTCTGTGTTGATTGGCTAAGCTGTACTGTGTCTCAGTGAAAGATAGCAACTTCAGAGTGGAAGATATACATCTGCATGCAAAAGTTGAAGCACCCCCAGGTCAAATTCCATGTTATGTTGATTTTCCATGTGAAAATAAGTTCCACCACAGAGAACTATGGAGCTCCTAAGGGGTCGTGGTAGTTAATGACATGCGTTCCCTCGCAAATGTTTTGCCTTCCTTCGCAAATGTTTTGCGTTCCCTTGAAAATAAAATGCGTTGCCTCGCAAATGTTTTGCATTACGATGCATCGGTTTGCATTCGCTTGCAAAAGCTGTGCTTTGCTTAAGCTCAGACACGGAGCAGCCCATCGAATTTACGTTGATCTTGGATTGAAATATAAAGACGTAGTGTCGCTTCTCAAAATCAGACATGATTCTGCTGTTAGTGACTCAAACTGAAACTGAGGCTGAGTGTCCTCGTACAGTAAAACCTACATTTACAGAGACGGCAGAGAACAATTGCTGAATAAACTCAGCACAGACAGGCGAAACTGGGAAAACAGCTTTTTTTAATGCTAAAAACAAAGCTCTAATGGAGGCAACGTCGTTGGGCGCCTCTGGTCCTATGTTTGGTTGCTGTCTGACAGGCATTTATTTTGCAAGGGAATGCAAAACATTTGAGAGGGAACGCATTTTTTTGTGAGGAAATGCAAAACATTTGCGAGGGAATGCAAAACGGCCCCATTAATTAAATCTATAAAATGTGCTAAAACCTCTGCAGAGGCCACATTTTATGTTTTATTTTTTCCAGTATGTTAAATTTAGCAAATACACATTAACGATGTATTAAAATGTGCAGAAGTGGGTTCTCTGCAGAAAACGTGTGAAAACATATTTTCACTCACAAAGCCAACAACAACACAGGGCGCACAAACATTTTCACACTGAGAAGAGTAAGACGCGCTGAGGTACCTGTATACTCTTAATCCCAGCCTTGCAGTAGTATCTCTTTATGTCCACATCAATCTCTGTATTTGCAACGAAACTGTGGAGAAAAAAAAACAAACTTAGTGAATTCTCAGAGCACTTAGGTCCATTTGGAAAAATATTGGATCATGAAGGTCCAACGGAAACAAGGCAGGTTGGGATCACCTGATCTGGAGGTCCATTATGATCTGCCGTTTGTCCACATTCTCGGTGTAAACTTTCACACCGTTGACCCTGAGAGGCTGAAACAGAAACACAGACGTCCCGCTGCTTATATGTGTGTGTGTAAGAGTGGGTGTGTGTGTGTGTTTGGAAGCATGCCAAACACTGTGGCGTTTTATTGCCCAGTGTGCATTCTGTCTTGGAAGTGGAAACTATTTGGAGTAACCACCCACCAGACAGCTGCGTGTACTGACCGCTGTAGCTATAAGGATGTTCCAGCAGCTAAACACTTTGCAATGTATATTGTATATCAAATATGCTGCACGTGTTCATAATGACACATTTCACATCTTTTGGCTTGACTGCAGGCTGCATGTTCCTGCTTGACGTAACTCAAGGGAACTTCTTGTTTCATTCTTGTTTTAATCTGATGAGCTCAAAGCTTTAGAAATTCCAGAGCATCCCTATTACTGATTTAAATCATTCTCAATTATAACCCAACTGTAGCCCATAAAATTCTGTCCGAACCCAACTAGAGCTGATAAAATTCTGTCTGAACCGACTGTAGCCCACAAAATTCTGTCTGAACTCGACTGTAGCTCACAAAATTCTGTCTGAATCGACTGTAGCCCACAAAATTCTGTCTGAACCGACTGTAGCCCACAAAATTCTGTCTGAACCGACTGTAGCCCACAAAATTCTGTCTAAACTCGACTGTAGCTCACATAATTCTGTCTGAACCGACTGTAGTCCACAAAATTCTGTCTGAACCGACTGTAGCCCACAAAATTCTGTCTGAACCGACTGTAGTCCACAAAATTCTGTCTAAACTCGACTGTAGCTCACAAAATTCTGTCTGAACCGACTGTAGCCCACAAAATTCTGTCTGAACTCGACTGTAGCCCACAAAATTCTGTCTGAACCGACTGTAGCCCACAAAATTCTGTCTGAACCGACTGTAGCTCACAAAATTGTGAACTTGATTGTAGCCCCAAAAAAATTCCCAGAACAGTCCTTCTGGAGGGATAAACTGACCTGGAGTCAGTGTTATTCAGTGATATTCTGAGCTCACAGGGCTCTGCAACTGGAGCGCTGACCTACATTCACTCCTACAAGACCCACCACATCACACACAGTGAATAAGGAGACGTCTTAAAGTATGAGATCAGTAAGAAACGGGAGGGAGTCTGGTGGCATGCATGTGCATCAGATCATATCACATGTCAGCTAGATAAACGGGTTTCAGATCTAACCACTGTGTGTGTGTGTGTGTGTGTTGCAGCAGACCATGGTGATGAAAGATAATACAGGGGACCGAGCATTTCTGTGGAATCGGCAGCTGATGGGAATCTCCTCTTCCTCCTCTCAGTTTAGCACGCAGTGACACAGCTGAGGAAAGGCTCAGTTTCACTGATCGCCTTAACATCCAACAGTAGCCAACAGCTCACACTGACCAGCGTCTTTAAAGTGGCATCCAGCAGATGACCTCACTCTTCATGTGTCAAAGAATGATTGTGTTTGTTTGTGACGTTGTACTGTGCTACTTATTAACATCTACATCGACCGGCCACTTCATCAAGTCCACCCACTTGTATCCAGACTCTTTGTCCATTTTATCAGCGCCACTGACCATATCGGAGCACTTTGTAGTTCTACAGACTGTAGTCCATCTGTTTCTCTGCATACTTTGTTACCCTGTTCTTCAGTGGTCAGGATGCCCACAGGTATTATTTGGGTGGATCATTCTCAGCACTGCAGTGACACTGACGTGGTGGTGGTGTGTTAGTGTGTGTTGTGCTGGTACGAGTGGATCAGACACAGCAGTGCTGCTGAATCCTTTTTTTGGGATGGAAGTCAATGGAACAAAATTTTATACACATTATTAATATTATCAACAATAAAGTGTAGATTAAATGACAAAAATAGCCACTGTTTAGTGTTCAATTTCAGGGTTAGTGTGTTTGTGACTGTACCTTATCCCCCAGATCTATCTTAGTGAAGGTGAAGGTGCTGAGGTGGGAGTTGACTCCTTTCACCGCCGGCTCGATGGTCTCCCTAAAGAGCTTCTCCACAAACTGGCACACATACGGCCACATCTGCTTCACCGTCTGCACAAGCAAAAACACACAAAACCAAATTTGCTTCATCTTCATCCTTGACTGGTAGAAAAAGACTTTTTTAAATGATCTTATCATCTTTGCAAGTTCCTGACCTAACAGTTTTATCTAACATCACATTTTGAATACCTGTCATATACCTTTATATGTGGTATATGTGGGCAGTGTGTTTCTGGACCTTCACTCCTAACACTATAAACTATGTAAAAAGGGGCACTCAGGTAAAACTGAAAAATGCAACCACTGCTGCATCTACCTCTGTTACCATGCCTACTCACCTGCTGCAGTGGTGTTGGAAAATCTGGAAAATCTGGAAAAATCTCACTCTAGTAACTCTTTAGAGTGAGATTTTCCAATTTCAAGACTAAGAAAACATTCTTCTGTTCATTTCCAGTCTTAACAGGCATTAAGAATAAGTTATTCATTATTAAATTTGTGAGGAGATTCCAAGATATTCCACAAGGAAGGAGAAGGTCAAAAGAAAATAAGTGGAAAAAAACAGGAGTTTCCAAAACTGGAGTCCAAAAACTGCTTAAAAGCTACAGAGAAAATGGGGCTCCTAACAACCACCTGGAAGAGCTGGTAGACCCTAAAACTGCCCCCATCAGATAAACAGCACTCAAAGCTCTCATCTCTGAGAGAGAGGAGAAAATCAAGCTGCTCCAGATCTGAAAACATCCACAGGTGTTTCTGTCCATCCTTCCACTGTGAGAAGACGACTCAGCGCTGTGGGTCTGAAAGGATGTGTAGCTGATCAAGAAGAACCTCACTGAGAAAAGGAGACGGACACATCAAACAAAGAAGCTGAACGATGGACTGACCACCCCAGAGTCCAGACCTCAACACCACTGAATGTGTTTGATTTGTGTTTGATCTTAAAACAGCGTCTCAGTCATCAGGCAGTGAATTCATATCCAATGCATGTAGTAACTTTCTGTGAGGGAGCTTTTAGAGGTGGACGTCTGGTTCCTATCACCACCACTGTGAACAATTTTGACTCTATAAGTTTGCCTAGAACAGAGCGTTTCAGCCCAAAACCACTTTGAATGACTCTGTTTTCATCTTAACCAGTTAGAAAGGCAGGATCTTTAAACATTTGGTGGAACTGCCAGCTGCTTTATTTAAAACAGGGCTGCCGGTGACTGTTAGAACAACACGACAGGCGTGAACTTTTGAGGTTTAAACAAATGTAATCAAAGCAGAGGCGCCGAAGATGAACAGACACACTGCACAACAGCAGCTCCTGTCACAACATCCTCACTCCGCTCACTCCGCTCACTGTGCTAGAACAAAAACGAAGGATGGAAATGAAGGCTTAATGAAAAAAATTTAGTTATGCAGCAAAACTGCAACAAGACAGATGCATAAATTAAGCTAAAGGGCAAACTTCCAATAAAATATACAAACGTTTTATTAAATACAACAGCCATCAAATAAAAGAGTGAAAAACTAAACTTTTTACTGCATTATACACAGAAAGCATGTATAAATTTATAGGTTCACTGGAGGGACACAGAGAGAGAGAGAGAGAGAGAGAGAGAGAGAGAGAGGGAGAGAGAGAGAGGGAGAGAGAAATAAGAAACAGAGAGAGAATAGAGAGAGAGACATAGAGAGAGAGAGAGAGAGAGAGAGAGAGAGAGATAGTGAGAGAGAGAGAGAAAGAGAGAGAGAGAGAAATAAGAAACAGAGAGAGAGAGAGAGAGAGAGAGAGAGAGAGAGGGAGAGAGACAGTGACAGGGAGAGTGTGAGTTGGCTGTTCCAGATGCCAGGCTATTTATACCATCCTGATATTGAACATAAGTAGTGTGTGTGTGTGTGTGTGTTTGTGTGTGTGTGTGTGTGTGTGTGTGTGTGTGTGAGCAATGGAGGATAGAAAGGAAAAGGGATGAACTGTGAATGGAGAGTTTCTATATATGCATTAAATATTCCTACCTAGGCAAGTGTTAAAAGGCTGATGTATTATATACAGTCCGTGGCCACTTTATTAGAAACACCTGCCTTGTGCTTCCACTAACTGGCCACTTTATTAGAAACACTCACCTAGTGCTTCCACTAACTGCCACTTTATTAGAAACACCTACATTGTGCTTCCACTCACTGGCCACTTTATTAGAAACACCTACCTTGTGCTTCCACTAACTGGCCACTTTATTAGAAACACTCACCTTGTACTTCCACTCACTGGCCACTTTATTAGAAACACCCCACCTAGTGCTTCCACTAACTGCCACTTTATTAGAAACACCTACCTTGTGCTTCCACTAACTGGCCACTTTATCAGAAACACCTACCTTGTGCTTCCACTAACTGGCCACTTTATTAGAAACATCTACCTTGTGCTTCCACTCACTGGCCACTTTATTAGAAACACCTAACTTGTGCTTCCACTAACTGGCCACTTTATCAGAAACACCTACCTTGTGCTTCCACTAACTGGCCACTTTATCAGAAACACCTACCTTGTGCTTCCACTAACTGCCACTTTATTAGAAACATCTACCTTGTGCTTCCGCTAACTGGCCACTTTATTAGAAACACCTAACTTGTGCTTCCGCTAACTGGCCACTTTATTAGAAACACCTACCTTGTGCTTCCGCTAATTGGCCGCTTTAATAGAAACATCTACCTTGTGCTTCTGCTAACTGGCCACTTTATCAGAAACACCTACCTTGTGCTTCCACTCACTGGCCGCTTTAATAGAAACATCTACCTTGTGCTTCTGCTAACTGGCCACTTTATTAGAAACACCTACCTTGTGCTTCCACTAACTGGCCACTTTATCAGAAACACCTACCTTGTGCTTCCACTAACTGCCACTTTATTAGAAACGCCTAGCTTGTGCTTCCGCTAACTGGCCACTTTATTAGAAACACCTAACTTGTGCTTCCACTAACTGCCACTTTATTAGAAACGCCTACCTTGTGCTTCCACTAACTGGACACTTTATTAGAAACGCCTACCTTGTGCTTCCACTAACTGGCCACTTTATTAGAAACACCTAACTTGTGCTTCCACTAACTGCCACTTTATTAGAAACGCCTACCTTGTGCTTCCACTAACTGGACACTTTATTAGAAACACTTACCTTGTGCTTCCACTAACTACCCCATTCATCAATGGTCAGTTTCTGACCACAGGACCGCTGTTGTCCAGATATTATTTGGGTGGTCGTTCATTTTCAGCATAGCAGTGACGCTGACATGGAAATGTGTGTGGTGCTGGTACGAGTGTATCAATGTGTCTACTAGACTGAGAATGGACCACCACCCAATAATATCCAAACAAGAGCAGCTCTGGGGTCACAAACTGACCATTTCTGGCCAGGGAGAGCAGTAATATTGATACTAATAACATACACACACAGTCTCACGAGAGAGAGAGAGAGAGAGAGAGAGAGAGAGAGAGAGAGAGGGAGAGGGAGAGAGAGAACAGAATATTTTCTTACCTTGTTTAACCACTCCACCCTCTCCACATCTGGGAAGTGAACCTGGTAAGAAAACAAACAAATGAAAAAAAAAAATATCAATCAAACAAGAACAAAAAGTTGAAGAGAAAACACTTTGACTGAAGATCTGAGGAAAAAATCTATTCAAAAGAATAATCTGTAGATCAAAACCAATATTAATGCACAATGTAAAGCACAGAACAGTCAGGATAACATTCAAACCCAATTTACCTGATTGTCTATGAGATTATAGAGTTTAGCTTTGCAGATCTGTCTCACATATTATTACAGTGTACAGAGAGATGTGCCTGTGTGTGTCAGAGTCAGAGAGAGAGGGACAATAATTTACACTGCAGTGAAATGCCTTGAGCAGTCACACAGACACACTCATACACACACACCCACACACACACACACACACACACACACACTACTGCTGCTGGCTGATAAACACAATGAATAAATAAAGACCGTCACACAGAAAGATAAAACTATTCTAGCTGATAAAAGAGGGTCCGGAGGCAGTGCTCCTCAGCTTCTGGACTACAGTCACAAACTGACCACATTCCTACATTACACAGAGCTGCATCACCAACACTGACAAACTGAACACACTGTAATAGACCAGCCCTGCACTGACGTTCCTGAATTACAGACATTCACAAACTGAACACTTTCCTGAATTACAGACATTCACAAACTGAACACTGTCCTGAATTACAGACATTCACAAACTGAACATTTTCCTGAATTACAGACATTTACAAACTGAACACTGTCCTGAATTACAGACATTCACAAACTGAACACTGTCCTGAATTACAGACGTCCACAAACTGAACACTGTCCTGAATTACAGACATTTACAAACTGGACACTTGTCTGCATTGTGAATGTATATAAGCTAAAGAACACTGAATTACAATCCTGTAGCTGACAAAGTACTATGGCCAAAAACTGCTTAGACTGCATCACCGTGGCAGCAGAGTGGGAGGGGCCGATGGAGATGATGGATTGCTAACACATATTTAGTATGTAGATACACACAAGCACACACACACACACACACACACACACACACACACACTCTCTCTCTTTTTCTCTGTTCTGTCACTCTGAGCACTTACATAAAGCTGAGCTGACAGTAGCCTCATCTTACCACAGCAACAGAAGGACTGAGAGGCTTTAAACAGCACATGCCCTACATTCTTCTTCTACTTTCCCTAATCCACTCATAAGGCCACTTACTAGATTTATATGGTTTTATTTATCATAAATGCCAAAATCATGTCATAATTCATATTTACATACTCTCTTTATCCCTTACAATGAAAGGGCTGTTTTTCTTACTGTGCCTTATACACACACACACAAACACACACACACACACACACACACAAACACACACACACACACACACAAACACACACACTCGCACACACACACATACACTCGTACCAGCGCAACACACACTAACACGCCACCACCAAGTCAGTGTCACTGCAGTGCTGATAATGACCCATCACCCAAATAGTACCTGCTCTGTGAGGGTCCATGGGGGTCCTGACCACTGAAGAACAGGGTAAAAGGGGGCTAACAAAGTATCAGAGAAACAGATGGACTACAGTCTGTAACTGTAGAACTACAAAGTGCACCTATATAGTAAGTGGAGCTGATAAAATGGACAATGAGTGTAGATATAAACATAAACTCAGTCCAGGCTGAAATGTACAGAACAAACTGTTAAGTTCAGACCGAAATCTGAAAATGTCTGGATCCTCTGAAAGCTACGCAAATAATTTTATACACACACATTTTCTAAGCCACTTATCCTTCTGGGTCACAGGGAGACCTGGAGCCTATCCCAGCTATCATTGGGCAGAAGGCAGGAAACACCCTGGACGGGTCGCCAGTCCATCACAGGGCAGACAGAAAGACATACACTCACACACACACCTAGGGCCAATTTAGTGTGTCCAATTGGCCTGACTGCATGTCTTTGGACTGTGGGAGGAAACCAGAGCAGCTGGAGGAAACCCACACAGACTGTCTGGTGGAATGGGCGGAGCTAAACTGGTTTGGAATGAATATATATATATATATCACCACTGTCAGAACAAAACCTAGTATCTCCATTTTTGTCGTTTTTCAGTTTTTGACATGATTTAAAAATACCTGTTGCCTTTATATTGTGTGTAAATTTCGTGGTGAATGGACCAAAAGAAACGACCCAAAATACTTGGAAAAAACTCTGGTTCCATTGACTTACATTAAAAGTAAAGAAGGTTTTTTCTTTCCACTGTAAAGTTACCATTTTGGAGAGAACTTTTTTCCTGCAGACAGACTCAAACAGAGTCACTGGACCGTAAGATGTGGGAAGTTGTTGTGCTGTTCCTGACTGTCAGGAAGGAAACTGCTCTCTGCAGCAGATGGAGCAAAATCTGAGATTATCAGATGAGTTTCGCACACACAGGTGAGCACAGTCTGCATTTAGCAGCCACGAAGGTGTTTAATTAGAGTTTTGCATATACAGATGTTATATCATAGCATATACAGCTTAATGTCAGTTTAGCATATAGCTCATATGAGATTAGCAGACAGATGTAGAGCCATCTATTTATGTAGCAGTCGAAGCCTGACTGCACTGTTTATTACCAAAACAGACCTGATGAATTTGGGCTTCAGTGAAAAAAATTTAATTGATCTTCAATTTGCATTTTTAATGCCAACATTTTGTTTATTGTACAAATGTCTAGACAAAATATCCCAAAAGTCCACACACTTAAAAAAGATGGTTCTTCAAGGGTTCTTTCGTAAGAAAATGGTTCTATATAGAACCATGAACACTTAAAGAACACTTTCCATGATTAAAAAGTTCTTTGCATCATTAAATGGTTCTTCAGATTGATGGAAAATGTGCTGTAGATGGTTCTAGAACCTTTCTGAAAAGGGTTCTATATAGCAACAAAAAGGGTTATTATATTGTTACAAGCTTGACATCATAACAATAGAAACTTTTTTGGTGAAATATAGAACCGGGTTCTATATAGAACCTTCTACAGCACATTCTTAAGAACCTTTTTATGATTCTAAATCATGCAATGGGTTCTTTGAGTGTTCATGGTTCTGTATAAAACCATATTCTTTACTAAATAACCCCTGAAGGATCATCTTTTAGTGTAAAAAAAGAACGTTTTTGAAAAGGGTTCTATATGGCACCAATAAGGGTTCTTCTATTTGTACGATGTCAAGCCTGTAAGAATAGAAAAACCCTTTTTGGTGTGATATAGAACCATTTTCAAAAAGGTTCTATATAGAACCATCTACGATGCATTCTCCATCAATCCGAAGAACCCTTTAAGGATGCACAGAACCCTTTAATCATGCAAAGGTTCTTTGAGTGTTAATGGTTCTACATAGAACTCTTTACAAAAAGGTAAAGGTATCTACAACACATCAATCTGAAGAACCATTTAATGATGCAAAGGGTTCTTTGAGTGTTCATGGCTCTATATAGAACCATTTTCTCTACTAAAGAACCCTTGAAGAACCTTAATTTTTAAGAGTGTAGAGACACCAACACAATCTCACATGGACTGTAGACGACACCAGAACAGCAGGTGCATTATTTCATTTAAAGTAAAGGAAATGATGGAGTGGTCAGCTGAAGGTCAAACTCCAGCACTCATTTACTGATTTTCGACACTGATTTGAAACTGTTTTATTCCTTCGAGCTTCAGAACCGGATTTATGACACGGAAACTAAACCGGCCAATCCAGAATCCAAACTTTGGCTGGAAAACTGACCCCTCCATTGTTTGTGTTTGACCGGTCGGAGGCAGTTTGTCTGAGTTTCCAGTGGAGACTAATAGGAGGGAAAAGGCAGCGGCTGTTTGAGGTTACCATGGCAACAGTGTTTCTATGGCGGCAGTAGATACAGGAGATGAATGAGTCTTTCTGTGTTTATTTTAACAGAGTTGCTCTGTGAGGCTCTAACCTTGAGGATACATTACCATAGACACTCGTCCGATGTTTGTCATGTCCTCATTATAAAGCAGTTAGACAGGAATGTACTGTAACCTGATGAGGGCTTTATATTTGAATATGAAGAGCTGACGGTCCGTCAATCTCTCTAATCTTCTCATCAGGTCCACCGCTCAGACTGAAGTCAGCAGCAGCTAAGCTGGGATCAGCGCTGGATTCTGGACGGTTTTAACCTTCTTGTTGCTGTATTTTTCCAGATTAGGTGGGAGGCACTGTTCGGTTTCAACGGAGGGGGTCCACTCGAGACTCAAAGTGTACATTAAATAAATAAAAGGTGTTGAATAAATAAAATGGATCATCGGAAAACATAAAATCATTATTTTTTCATTATTTAAATCACTTTTTCTAATTAAAATAGCCAGTAAAGTTATTAATAAAGTGTTATATTTTGACACTTTTTTGTAGGGCCTATTTATTCAAAACTGCCTGAAAACTGAAAGTGTACATTTTGGCCAACAAAAAATGTAAACAGAGTCATTCAGAGTGGTTTGGTGTGAAATGCTCCGTTTTAGAGAAACCGAAGTCAGAATTGTTCACAGTGGCGGTGATAGGAACCAGACGTCGGAAGGGTTTAATACCTCTAAAAGCTTCCTTGTGGTTATGAATTTGCTCCCTGACGTCCGAGACTTTGTTTTGTGATAGTTTTGAGATAAAGTTTTGGCCTAAAACATATTTGTTTAAATTGCGTTTGGCAGAGAGGCGCCAAAAAAATTAACATATCTTCCATAAATCATATGAACTTATTTTTCCACTATTTAAATCACTTTTTCTACCACTGAAAGTGTACAGTGTGGCCAATTTCAGAGAAAAAATTTAGTCGATCAAAAAAAGAATAAAAAATGTAAAGAGAGTTGTTCAGAGTGGTTTGGTGTGAAACGCTCTGCTCTGGAGAACCTCTGAGAGTCAGAATTGTTCACAGTGGTGGTGATAGGAACCAGACGTCTGGAGAGTTTAATGCCTCCGTTATGGTTATGAATTCACTGCCTGACGTCTGAGAC